TCCAGGATAAGTAAGCCAAGAAAGGCATGGTTAACAGAAGACACAACATAAAGTAGAAGAGACATGCCTGAATATATCAGAAACCACAGTAAATGCCAATGGTACAATGACCTATGAAAAGGTAGATATTGTCATACAGGATTTAAAAACACAAAAAGCACACTCAAATAAATTAAAACAGAAATGTTGAAAACAAAGAAGGAAAATATGCAAAGTAAATACTACTTAAAACAAAGTGATAAAACAGTACTAATATAAGAAAAAATAGAATATAAAGTGATAAACATTTATCAAATGAAGAGAAATACTACTTACTCATAAAAAGGAACAATTCGCCAGGAAGATACAACAGTCATGAAGCTTAATTATTTAAAAATAAAGACTTAAAATAAAGCCAAAGCCAAACATCAAAATGAATTTACAGGCTCCTAAATTTTTAAAGAAAATTACACACACACACACACACACACGTATATATGAGAGAAAATGGAAGAATGAATACCAAAATGTTAAAAGCATTTTCTTCTAGGTGTGAGCATTATGTATAATTTTATATTTTTGGTTTGCTGTATCTTACAGTGTTACAAATGAATACATATCTTTGTAGCAAAAAGTTATAATAAATCCGAATGCTACAGAAATGTTCATTTTCCAATGCAATGGAAGCAAACTTGTGATTGATAAATTTTGAAAAAGTCAATCTCTTAAGAAAAAAGTATATATTTCTAAACAGACAATAAATGAAATAATTGCTTGTATAATCACGATATTGAGAGATAAAAACAAAAAATATTAAGTTTGTGGAATGCAAGTAATGATGGGCCCAAAGGTTAATTGATAATATTGACTGCTTTCATTGTTTAAAGAGAAAGTCTACTGAGCAACCAGGCTAGCACAGGGTTTGAGTTCAGATCCCCACTGCATCCTTCCCTACCCCATCAAGTCACCTAACTAGTGCCTCTTCAGCTGCAGATGGAGATGATAATAAAACCACCACATGGGCTTGTCATGAGGAGTAAATAAATGAATATACGTAAAGCAGTTAAAATCGTCCTGGGCCCACATGAAACCCTGTGCATTATTTGACTCTGTAATTTTAAAAGAGAAACCTAAACTGTTTAATTGTTCTCCTGGTCTCTGGATTACATGCAGATTTACCATTAATATTTATTTCTGGGAAACTATCCCAAGAAAATAATCTCAAAACAGAAAGGTATGTAGATGACTTTCACTGCACAAAACAGATTAATTGTACTAAATCTTACTAACTGTACAAAAGTGGGAGAAGAGGTAAACACACGGTTTTGTCTTCTAATTGTGGTCTGATGGAGCTGGCTTGAATTTTATAAGACAGTTGTTAAATACAGACATTATTAAACACTAAGTCATATACATTTATAATTGAATTATGTTAAAAACAAAGTAATAATACTCAAAATGTATCACTTCCTAACTATTTTACTATTATCTATGTTCTTGAGGTTATTTACATCTAACTTTCTGTATGGTAGAAGTAGTATGTAAAGGCATGTTTTTGCACATCTCTTACCAATTCAGTGTTGGTAACTTGAAATTAACTGTGGTTGGAATACTTACACTACAGAAATCAACAAATGCAGCAAATCAGGGCCTTTTTTTAGAGAAGCAGATATCTAACATATACCAGCAACTCTTATCTAACCAGAATGCTACTTATAGTCACTGCAAATGGCATCTTGAGGAGTATTGATAATATAGAATGTGTGCATGATCTAGTGTTTAGTAAAAGTGGCAGGAAGCAGAAGTGTATAAACAATTTTATTATGATACATATTTTAAAGGATATGTAGAAAAAATGGAATAAAATATATCATAATATAAATATAAAAACATAGTATTATCATTCTCATTTGCAGGTGAGAAATAATGGAGGCTATGAATGGTTAAATAACTTGTCTAAACATAACAAAAGTGCAAATTGATAGAGGTGAATTTCAAGGTTAAAATTGGCGTAATGTTCCCATCTTTTAACTCTAAACCATACCATGTCTTCATGTCTTCAGCATAGTACTAGTTAGAGATTGGGAAGGGGTTGTAAGATTTACATCGGTATCAATTTCTTTCAGCAGAATATAGTTGGTTAAGTCCATTTTGTCCATATTCCAAAATTATCTAAACAAATCTGCTTTTAAAATTTTATTGACACTATCACATAGTTGTATTTAATGGTACTTGTTGACTCAGCAGACTCTCTTGTTTACTTTCATTCTACTATTCGGCTTTCATCTCAGCCAGAGCCTGTTTAAAATAGAGCACTATTTCTTCCCTCCATACAAGGACCACATGAATAACAAATACATGACAATGAATACAACCCTTTCCGGGACCCAAAGAGTAACTTAACTTGAATACTAGCTGCTAGATGAGGACATAACGTTAACCTTTCATGGGCTCTAGCACATTAGTCACTGACATACAAACTTCTGCCCGAATAGTTGCTGATTAACGTGACCAAGCGATTGAGAAAACAAAGAAGTCAGGTGTATTTGCTCCCTTCTGTTTTAGTAAAATTTGGGCTCAGACTTGGAAAATATTCAGGTTTTTCTAACATCATGAATATAGTATTGTTTTATCAGTATGAGGAAACGCTTTGGGATTGGAAATTTTCCAAAGCCCCCAAAGAAAGAGAGTATGCAGTATTGCTCATCATTTGGCATATCTTGGAAACTAACACTTACTCTACTGGTGATGTAATAACATAAGTTTTTTAAAAATATATTTTATTGATTTTTTACAGAGAGGAAGGGAGAGGGATAGAGAGTTTAGAAACATCGATGAGAGAGAAATATCGATCAGCTGCCTCCTGCACACCCCCTACTGAGGATGTGCCCGCAACCAAGGTACATGCCCTTGACTGGAATCTAACCTGGGACCCTTCAGTCTGCAGGCCGATGCTCTATCCACTGAGCCAAACCAGTTAGGGCCATAAGTTATTTTTTATTATTATGCTTTGGAACTTCTAAAGTTTATTGATAATCTCAATCACTTATTAATGCTGTATCATTAATTCTTTGTCTCAGAATACACTCTTGGTCCTTCAGGAATGACATTGGACACAGGCAGGTAAGAGTTCTGGCTCAGCCCGTTAGAATTTCTCAAGTTGCTTCTCCTGAGGCCTTTCGTTTGGGTGAAGACTTGATCTCATAGGGATCCATATAAAATGTGCTTGTACTCAGGAGTGACCCTTTTAACAGTCACTGGCAATCCTTAGCATAGTACCTAACATTATATGTTGAGCACTTCTCCAGGCTTAAATGTCCTTATTCAACCTATACTCCATGGTGTGTTGCCATAGAATCGCAACTCTCTTACTTTATAGTCGTTTAGTTGCACTGATCTTGTAGCACCAACCATGTGCTAATCCAGCCAGCTGTCCTTGCAGCTCCTATGTTCATATCTGATTGTCAGATAAAGTGAAACCATGGTTCAGGTCAGAGCCACATAAAGGTGCTGTCCCCAGCCCCAGCTGGATTCTCAGCATGGTCCAGGTAGTCCTACATTCTCTGGTCCACTCCATCATCTTCCTGAGTGGAACCACTTCCTTTGGGTCCTCTACTCCCTTGTCACTTTCCCCCAATGACCACCAAGTCCTGTTTCATTGTGAAGTTGCCTATTTCACCTTTAGAAATAGGGTAGAAATCTTGACATTTCTGCTTTTTCTTTCTGTTCTTTGAGGTCAGTAATATGTAAAGCAACTTGTGTTTCCCCAAACATGCAATGAGTTACTCGTACAATGCACGTCACTATTAAACATTCATCCAGGACTTAGTGTCCTGGATTTCAATGACAGCTGTGCCCACTCTGAATTAGTCATATGTTATATCTGTGAATCATATCCCTGTATACATTCGATTTAGAAGAGGAGGTTACTCAAATATCTCTAAAGCAGTGGTTCTCAATCTGTGGGTTGCGACCCCTTTGGGGGTCGAACGACCCTTTCACAGGGGTCGCCTAAGACCATCGGAAAACACATATATAATTACATATTGTTTTTGTGATTAATCACTATGCTTTAATTATGTTCAATTTGTAACAATGAAATTGGGGGTCACCACAACATGAGGAACTGTATTAAAGGGTCGCGGCATTAGGAAGGTTGAGAACCACTGCAAAGCAAACTACCCAGACTCAAAAATTTCTAGGTATGCTAGTCAATGGAGTAATATTAAAAACGGAGTGTAAACAGGAGTTCTTTGTGCATGTTACCCAAATTCAGTGCTGCTTACGTGAATTCCTGTACTCCCACCATTTAAATTCTGTTGTGCACTTAATACTTCATGAGAAAGCATTAAATATTTTTGAAGTATGTGGTTAAGGTGAGCAATTCAGTGAAACATTGGCTACTTTCATGCATGATGGTTTGTAAACTTCTCCTACTTGTGGGTTATGATATTGAGCTCATCATTGAAAGTATCACTAGTCAACATGATTCAGAAAGGTAGTGACTTTTTTCTTGTCTTTGAATGTTAGGAATCTTGGTTAAACTGAAACCAAACAATAAGCTATTAATTCTACAAAGCTGGTTATTAATTTTATTGAGAAAATGGCATGCTGACAGAAAAGAATCCACTGAATGCCCTTGCACTATTTTAAATCTGTCAGTCTATTTTGTAAAATACTATTGGGCAGAGTCCCTGATTCATTCATGATAAGGGCTTAGGAAAAATGGATTCAATCTAAAAACCTTTCTTAAAAGTTGCTTTCTGCCAAGAATAAAAGTATCAACTATGAAATAGTTTATGTAGAATATTTTTATTACATTAAATAATATTAAAATAATAGCACATTATTGTATTTTGTTTGTACCAACATATTCTATGCATTTCAACTTTTATAATTTTAGGGGCTGTGTTTTCATGATAATGTTTATTCTTAGAACTAGGGTATGTAGTTAATGTATCTTTGCTCTGCTAGACTTGGTGTTTTTGACTAAGGTTGATATTTTGAAGTTTTCAAAATAGAGATAGTGTGAACTAAGGGCTTTACCTGTAAAATTTGGAAACTGATAATCATTTCTTTCTAAAATATAAATTAGGAGTTGCTCATATAAGGAGGTTGGGGATTTTTTTTTGTGTGCACCAAATTCTAATATGAACCATCAAAATCAATTGTCCTGCTTCTTATAATAATGAATTTTACTAAATTTTAGCATTTCGCCATGTCATTCTATATAACTTTGGAGTTTAGAATAGCACAGATAAGTCATAATCCATAAGTCCTAACATCCAGGTGCTGTCTTACCAAATATCCGTTGTATGATCAGGAAGTATTAAAATAATCTGCAGCCGATGTTAAATCTTTCTGGCTATTATTAGCTATTTGAAAAGATCGAGGTTCTCTTTTATCTGGAGATACCTCAACATATTAGTTGGCAAGTAAATGTTTAAAATGCATTTGAAAGTATCATTCTGCTTATGTAAAATAGAAAACAAAACAAGTATATGAAATCAGGCTATGAAAAAAGCTGTATCTTATTAGCATGTGGATCTTAACATTGTGGCTCCAGAAATTTTAGTGAACCACAAAATCTAAAGCTACATCTCCCATCTACATACAGATACTACCTTCACTTATCTACACAATGCAAGCGTATCCAATTCTTTGATAAAGTGATATATAAAGGGAAAATAATTAATTTGAGAGTGTCATTAAACAGAGAAGTCTTTTTATGCTACTGTAATACATGTAATTTGAAAAATCTTTAATTGATACCATTCAATCCGTTTTCTCATGTGTTTATAGAAAGATTTCAATGCAGCCCTCAGTCCCTTTGCAAATCACAGATTTTTCCAGTCTTTCTTCCTGATTTGAAATTCACTAGTCTCAGTTTCATAATACACTGGCCAGAACCCATATCACTGTGGACATTCTTGCTACTGCAACAGGTGTTTGTCAGTTTCTTAAGTTGCTTTCCTTTCCCCTGAGGTGGTGTTATTTCCGGTACATTCCAAAGGCTCTGAAAAAAACGTTCACAGTCTCTTGCCAAGCCAAATCATGACTTGGCCTCAAAGTTATTGAGAATCCATTGTCTTTAGGCTTTTATTAAGTAGGCAAATTGTGTGTATCTTTCTCTAATTCTGATTTTTTTAGTAACTAAAATATTTAGGAAGTGTTTTGTAAAATTAAAAGTGAAAATGGAAATGATTTTTTTTCGTTCAGAAGTGAACACTCTGGATGTCTGGGAGTAGGGTTGATTATATTCCAGAGTTAAAAGGTTTTCATCATCCATTTAGACCACCCTGAAGTTTGACATAAACATAAACAAAACGGATCTTGATAACGTGCAGTCTAAGCTTTCTACCTGCTAATGTTTCCTCTACGAGTGAGGGCTCTGCAGGCTAACGTTTTTACTGCAGACCTTAAGGCAGGGAAGGACACGGGTAGAAAGGAGATCATCAATCAATTGCTTATTTATATAGCTTTCTGCTCTCCACACACTCCACTCCTACTTTACCAACTAAAACCTAAGCCCACCATAATATGAATCGGTCGTGATCAGAGCACACGTGCGTGTGTGCGTACACACACACACACACACACACACACACACACACAGTTTAGAACTATGACAAGGCAACAAGAAGATAAGAGTTTTCACACCAACCTTTTGGAAGTTTCTCAGTCCCGCTGAAGGCAACCAGGGTAAGAATATGTACCAGTGGAATGTTGACGAGCTCTCTCATGATTAATCCAGGCTCAGGCAGGAGAAAGTTTCTTCTGGACAATGCAAGGAGAATGCCCCACAGTTTACATTTTAAAGCATAGTTTGTTACAAAAGGGTCATCTGCTAATGACCGTTTGTGTCAGCAGCTCCACAGGCTCTAAGTATAATCAGGAATTCTCAGACTTGGCTGTAATGATGGACACGGCCAGCTGGTGAGTATCCACTTAGGCCAGCAATGCCAGTGTAGGGCTGGAGGAACAAGGGAAAGAAAATCCCTTTAGAATCCCTTTTAAGACAGTGGCAGAAGGACAATACCAGATGCCATTTGCAACCATCACTGTATTCTCTGAGGTATAGTTTGCCTGATTTCTGATTCATCTCTCCACCTCTCCTGAACTCACACCAGAGCCCTGGGTATATCTAATCGTGACTCCTCCCCCTCTCTCATGCCACCTCCCACACCAACCCATTACCAATACCTACAGATTGTACCAACTCAGTATTCCTTGATTTCTTCCCCTTCTAGGATTCCAACTAGTGTCATGCTATTCCAACCTCTTTTTTTAGACATGCATCTTCTCTGAATGACAGTGATAGCCTCCTGCCTATTACCTCTGCCTTGTGTCTTACCATCCTCTAAAATCTTTTCAGATAGCCTCTCCTGTTTAAAGCCTTTAGTAGCTCCTCATCACATAAAAACATATTCAAACCTCCTTAATATTATGTAGGAGGCTTTGCTAGACTGCCTACCTTGTTAGCCTCCTCATCTTTTATAATCCATCCCTACCTCTTATTTTAATACTTAGTAACCCACTGGTGGTTCCCTGTATATACAGTTTTCTTGCCTCTATAAATTTCTCATGCAGTTTCAGTCTCTGGAATGCTTTTTCCCTCCTCTCCACCCAGTTAACACCTAGCTCAGCTTGATCTTCATCTCCTTCTGGGAGCCATCCCAGACCCCGAATCATGTATCTTCCCAAAGTTGGGTTAGGTTTACCTCCTCTGGGCCTCCATAATATATTGTACACATCTCTATCATTGCACTTACTATGTTGCTTTAAGATTAGTTTCCTCTTGCCCTAGTGGCATCCTCATTCTTTGGCCTCATGAGTCCACTGAGTTGGCAGCTGTGGGCTGTCAGCAAATTGCACTCTTTGCTGCAGGTTCTCCGAAGGTGCATCTCCAATAGCTTTTCAAATTGCCACTTGAGAATTACCTTTTCCTATTGAACAATAAGTCTTGGAGACTTTCCTATGTTAATATATACAGCACCACCTCATTATTTCTATTAGCTATGCTGTCTTCTAAATCATGGATGTATGATGCTATATTTAACTACTTCCCAGCAGTGAGAGACCCAATTTCCCCACACTCTCATCAACACTTACTTTTGAATTTTTACTTTTAAATAAAATAAAATTGGTATTTCATTGTTTTAATTTATGTTTATTATAGTGAATACTGTTGGTAGTGAGAATTTTTTATATATTTATTGTTATTAATTTTTCTCTTCTATGGCTTTGTCTAGTTTCCTCTTAGGTCATTTTTCTTTTTAGTATTAATTTATAGGAGATTCTTTAATACTCTGGATATAAATAATTTATATAATTTGTCTACATAGAATACTTCTACTACCTAGCTATAATGATTGGTTCAGAAATGGGTTTATGGCTCAAGCTGGTCAGTCCAAGGTCTCCCTGGTATATTATTGGACCTACTGCAAAATATGCTCTTCCTTCTTAGATCACCACCTGAGGGCCAGGTGATCCAGGGCTATTGGAGGCATTCATGCTCCATTAACAAGATTCAGTGTGCAAATCCAGATCTATCATTTGGCATCCTTGTTATTTAAATTAATAAATCCTCTCCTTTTTTTGGCTCAGCTAATATTAGTTTGATTTTTTTAAATTGCAATCAAAATAATCCTAATGTAATTTTAATAGAAGAGGTATCGATTTAATCAAATTTCTGCTCTGGGAATAGTCAACAAATGCTACATAGTTCATGGGAAATTTAGACACTAGCAGGATGAGCTCATTTTTTAAATGTGAAATTCAGGAATCAGAATGAACAGTGGCTAGCTCTCATTCCCATAAGTAGCACCAGGTAAAGCAAAGGGTTCTGGGAATTGGGCTTGATTTGTGAGCTAAAGTTCAGCTCAGAATCAGGAGCAGCCATAAATAAAGGGAAGTCCAAGGCGAGGCAATCAAGGGGCCTCCTCATTCAAATGTCCAGGAGGAGGATGTGTGAGGGAGCACTCTCTATCTCCTCCTTTCCCCCTAAAACATCAAATAAGCTATGGATGGTGCCCATTTTTAATCCAATAGAAACTATAGCCCCACCTGCATGGCTCAGTGTTGAGCATTGATCTATGAATCAGGAAGTCATAGTGGTTCAATTTCTGGTCAGGGCACATGCCCAGGTTGCGGACTCGATCACCAGTGTGGGGCATGCAAGAGGCAGCCGATCAATTATTCTCTCTCAACATTGATGTTTCTATCTCTCTCTCCCTCTCCCTTCCTCTCTGAAATAAATAAAAACATATCTAATCTAATCAAAGAGAAACATGCAAATTGACCGTACCTTCGCCATGCCCCCAAGCCACGCCCACAAGCCAATCAGAGCGACTATATGCAAATTAACCCAACCAAGATGGCAGCCGGCAGCCACAGAGCTGGAGCGAGCAGGAGGCTTGGTTGCCCCAATGATGGAGGAAGCCAAGCTTCCCGGCCAGCTGTTGCCTCCTCTCAAGGCAACAAAGTTTCAATTATAGAAGGTAAATAAACCCCAGATACATGCTTGGACCAGTTCCTGCTAACGGTAACTTTTAAAAACATTTTTTCCAAATCATGGGACAAACTCTTCTAACTCCTACCCATGCATATTGAAAATGATCAAATCCACCAGGACCTTATTAGTGAATGAACTGGAAGTTGGCATATTAGAAGGCAGAGGTGGAAAGACAGATGATTAAAGCTCATATATGTTCCTTACCATAAACGTCCACGTGGAACGATTTTTCAGCAGTTCCAGCAACATTGCTGACATGACACGTGTACGTTGCTGAATCAGAGACCTGTGCTCGAGGGATATGAAGAAACTGTCCTTTATCAATATAAAGTGCTTGCGAACTGGATATGATCGGCTGGCCGTCCTTATACCACGTGACAGCTGGCATCGGAAGTCCGCGTGTTTCACACTCCAGCTTAATTACGCTGTTGATCAATGCTGATATTTCCGTGGTGACATTCCCTCCTTTAATACTGGGTGGAACTACAAAGGATTTCGGAGCAGAAACAAGTTTTCTAGGCTTTAGCATCTGCATAAAATCTTAAATGTGACAGGTGTTTAAATGATGCACTCAAAGCAAATACACATTAAAGACAACGAGGAAGCCTGTGATTTATCTGCTGATAATGACTTGCCTGTTTTGTCCATTTTTATCACCCTCCTTCTGGGTTTCGGATAAAGCAGAACATCACAGCTTTCGTTTCAGGGGTTCATTTAAGTCCAATAGACAGTACAGTCTAAGAACGTTACATTTACCAAAGCAAAACAAAATGAAACACCACTTAAAGTAGATAGAAATAGGTTTCATATCGGGCCATTGGAGCAAAATCGTCAGGTGTGGTACAACTGCATGCCCTGCCCCCAAGAAATACTAAAGGTCTAAGTCAGGGGTCCTCAAACTACGGCCCGCGGGCCACATGCAAATACAAATATTGTATTTGTTCCCGTTTTGTTTTTTTACTTCAAAATAAGATATGTGCAGTGTGCATAGGAATTTGTTCATAGTTTTTTTTTAAACTATAGTCTGGCCCTCAAACGGTCTGAGGGACAGTAAACTGGCCCCCTGTTTAAAAAGTTTGAGGACCCCTGCTATAGACCCAGTGATCCCAGAAAATTATTCCCTACTTCAAATTTCACCATGACCTGAGACTAAAGTGACCATAGTCCTCTTCAAAGCTAAGGAGGACAAAACTCTGTTGGGGGGAAATGAATCCAGAATTTGAGGGAGAGTGCTGGTTCAAAATGAATCCCTCCCTGGCCAAGAGAAACTCATGGAGAGTGTGGCTTAGGCATGATCCCAAAATGTGGCAGCTGGAGGCTGTCAGCCAATTATGTTCCTTGCTGCAGTTTCTTGGAATTTGGCTATAAAATGGCCTTCTATCCTATAATATAAGCAAATCCATTTCTTATAATAGTAGGCTCATTCAGCCACAGAGAGTGGAGACTGGGTGCTAGCCAATTATTTGACTTCCTTCGGGGCATATGGAAAGTATTTGGGTTGATGGTAAGTCTTCTCTTTAATAAAATACAGTCAGCCATCAATTAAGCTTATCTTGCCACTTCTAGTCTCTGCTTCTTCATCTCAGAAGCTGGCCAAGACCCTTGGGAAGTAGGCTCAGAGCAAGCAGTCCCATTCTGAGCCACATCTTGAACTAGACACCAGAATTCAGCTGCACAGCAGCTGATGAGACCAGCCCCACTTTTGCTGGAGTCAGCACATCGCCAAGTAAGCTGACCTGGTCTGCACCAGGCTCTCATACATCTGGTGAAGCTTGGCAAAGAGCCCCTTCTAATGATCACAAAGGGCAATGACCTAATTCTCTGCCTCACCGGTCAGCAGACAGTGGGTCAGAAATGCCACATGGTTTGCCCTTTTCGGAAAACTCCTGGGCAATCAGAAAGATATTGTGGGATTGTATCTTGAAAAAGGGATAGAAGCTCCCACTAAATATTAGGATAGTGATTAGAGATGTATCAGTAATTTGGAGGCCTACAAATTGTAAAATTAGAGGGGCTCTTAAAAAAATGTTTGTCCAATGAATGAATAAATTGTATTGAATACCTATATAAACAATGGATCATAATGTCTGGTTATGGAGCAGATATTATTCAATTACATAAATAATTAAATTATAACCTGGAGAGATATACTGTACTGTAATATTATATAAAATTGAACCTAGTCTAGTCTGAGGGCTCAAAAAATGCTTCTCTGAGAAAGTGTCACTAAAGTTATGTCCTGCAGGTAAAATAAAAGTCAGACAGCCAAACTAGGAAGGTCTTGGGGTGGACTGTAACACGTAGTGGAGGGAGAATGTGGAAATGACCAGGAAGTGAAGGAACACAATGATGTGATGAAATG